TACTGTTTAAACTTACGACTGAGAAGTCAGCTCTTTAAAAACTTATTTTGGTTGACCTTAAGAACTTTCAGTCATAACATTTAAACACACTGAGAAAAGTCTGCTGTCTTTGGTGACAGCAGGCACTTTTGCACCATTAAAATGCCCAAACTGCTATGACGTTAAGCAAACAGCAAAGAGCTCCTCCTTTCATGTAGCAAAGTGATGGTGTCAAGTGGGACTTTTGACGTGCCGTAAAGGTCACTCTGTCCTCTGGCTTCAACGACCGGTGTTGTCTTTTTTTTTTTGATTACCACTGGTCAAAATATTTGTCCAGTTTATTTTCTAATTTTTTTATTTTTTTATTTTTTTTCTTCGCCTTATCAAATATATTTTGTTTAGTATTTGTTTTTGGGCTAAAAAATTTTTTGCTACAAATCCAGAACTTTGTTTTGTTTGCACTGCTGACATAATTGCTCTTTTCTTTGATGGGTATTCAAAAGACAGCTGCTTCTGTACACTGTGATAATGACTTCATCGAAATTGTTTTCAAAAGTTATCTTTAGCAAGAATAGAGGAGGGTTTTATTTACTGTTTTATCGTTCCAGGTAAAATTTTAACTATAATTTTTTTTCGTCATCTACATTAGAAACTGGAAGTATTATGAAGTAGGGAATACTAATTTCTGCTTAGATGTTCATTGACTGGTAGTTTTTATGTAAATTTCTCAATATTCCTAATTTATCGCTTACACAAAGTTAACAGGAAATTATATCAAACTTTTGTTCACAGATGTTGTTCGCAGTGGCATCGGTGATAGCTACAGTATTCTTTTGTCTCTCGAATTACTGCTGTGTAACTAGTTTGGCAAAAGATGCTTCCAAAAGTCATGTTTATCGTATAATGGTGCTTGGAACTGGACCGAATCAGACAAGTTACGTAACGCTGGAAAACCCACTTAGACAAAAAGATGTAAGTTTTAACAGGAAGTTTGTTGAAAATGATGAAGAAAACAGTTATAAAATTAAACGAGTATTGAGAAAAACTGAAGTTGGTTTCTTGTAAGGTTACGACGCAGTCTTGAAGCGATTCAACCAAGTTATTGACAGGGTAATGCAGCCTCTTCCAGTTTTCGTGCTCTATTTGGTTTTGCAAAACTTAGAAATGATTGAACAGATTAATTTTTTATCGCTGATAAGCTTGCTTTTAGGATTTATCACAAAACGTTGTTGATGAAATACCGGTACGTTTTGATAATTGTAGTGGTTTTGAACAGATGGAGATCCGAAAATGTGCTGAACCACTATACTTAGTGGGGGCGATAACTGGTACGGACGATGAGGTCGAGTTTTCGTGGCAGTACCTATTCAGTCAGACGAGAGACTTTCTCACTACTGTTTGTGAGTAAGCCTTTTAATTTTCTGTCTACACTTTTTTTTGCTTCTTGTAAATTCTTAATAATTTCAGTTGTTCACGGCTGGTTTTAGTATTTTGAAGTTTGTTAAAATTTAAATGGAAAAAAATATCTGAAAATTTACATTTGAAAGCTTTTTTTTAAAAATACCACTGGGTTCTTATTTTTTAAAAATAAAATATCTTTTTTTTTTTCTTTTTTTGAACCAATACATCCTGATGTTATGAAATGTCATTAGCAGCCAATGAGCTCTATAATTTCAGAAATTTTCTGGTGTTTGACCTCTGCGTTGAGCCCTATAAAGAATCTTGTTTTGTACGTGAACCAATTAGGTCACGGTATCAAGCCACTATATCTGTACTTGAATTTCTTTGTGGAGAAGGTTATGAAGGTTTGCTTTTCTTTTTCATACTTTCGAAGTGTTGTTTAAAAATTTGCATTATTCTGAATTAAACTGATGACGTAGCACCTGTTTTCAGAAATGTTAAAAAGTTTTGAGTGCTTTTCACACACCCTAACTCGGGCTGAGATGCTTCAATGTCAGACGGACGCGGCGATTGACGCTCGACGGTTGCCCCCAGTAGCTGCAAATGAAACTGGCGCATATGAAGCTGCCTTATGCGGGTTTGCTTGCTGTTGTATAGCTTAAAAACAGAATCTTTTGTGATTTGTTTCATTTTAATGTCTCATAATAATGAAAAACAAAAACTACTTTAAAATTTTTATATATTCTATAATTGAATTTTTCAGAGCTCTGCGAAATTATATTGAATGTGTTAAATATCCCGTACGTTATCAGTGCGGTTACCGTTCGTGGTACGCTTTACGTGAAATGTTGGTCCGCTTTACCACAGCTCTGTTGAAAAATTGCATTATTGCTGATGCACGAGATACTCGAAGTATTTGGAATTATTTTTATGACATTGTTGCTGGAATGTTCTCAGCTGCCACGGAAAATCTTTGGTCATAATTGTTAACTGGACAGAAAAATGAGCATTGACGTGTTTTTGAATTTTTATTTTGCAGGATTCGGGAGGAAGTTTTGAGAAATCTTTTAATCAAGGACATCAAAAAAGTGACCTTTGGCAGTCAGAAATTTTTAGTTATGAATATTAACTATATCCTTTTTGCTTATTCATATTTTGGTGCTATTTATTTGTACTTCACTGCAGTCTCATGTTTAACTGTATAATGCACTGAATCTCCTCTTCTGAATCAATTCAGTTGAAGTGGTTAGAACCATTAATAGTTTTAAAAAAATGAAAAAAAAATTGGTTGAAAAAATGAAGGCACTGTTGGTTCTGAAGAGTATATTAATCTTTTGAGGACAGCTTGGTCTGGAGCCTAAAATATTCTTCTAAAGTCTTACTTAAGTCATTTTAAAGTGTAACTTAAAGAAGAAAAAAGCAAAAATGAAGATGAATTAAACAGTAGCTAAAAGGATCGTTTATCGTTTGAAGTGGCAAGGGGCGCAAAAAATGAATTTAGCTGAACGTTGCATGCAGTGCAAATATCGGTCACCTGGTTGCAAAGATGGATTTTGCGACAACTGTTTACAGTAAAAGAATGAAAATCAAAAATTCTTTTGTTTTTTTTTTTTTTTTTTTGGGGGGGGGGGGGGGG